GGGGGGGATGGGGCGGGGGGGTGGGGGTGGCGGTAAGCGTGACCAGTAGGTTGTACTGGGCAACATAGATTTTCTTCATGTTTCCTAAACAGTCAATTTTTCTCTACGTAAAAGTTTTATCTGTATATATATATAAACTTTATTTTTATTTCAACTCATTTCTTCAAACTTTCAGATGCAGAGTTTGAGGGAAATCTTCAAAGATACAAAGGGTTAATGAATGGTTCATAGACTTGCAAAAAAACACTTTGGATGCAAGCTGATTTCTGTATAAATATGGGGTCAATCTTCAGATTGACTGCCTTTCACACCTGCTATTGTCACCCTGGCAGGAAATCAAAGGCCATTGTTCATCTCATATTTACAATTACAGCACTTGGTATAATTACACATTGTTTTATACATCAGAGCAGGACAATAAAGATTATACAGTGTGAGGTCAATGTACAAGGTATTCCCTTAAACAAATGGACTGGCTTGGATTTTATAGATTACATTCTTAAAGCGAACCCCCCAAATGACAATTTTACGTGGCACGGAAGCAGCTCAGCCTGATGATTGACTGCCTGACATCCCACTCAACTACTCCAGCAAACAGATCCAAACTGTCAATAGTTCCAAGTACAAAACGGTGGAGGCAAGTCTAACCACCATCATTCTATCCTCAAACTGACTGCTTTCTGAGGTTTACCTCTGAACCTTCTAGCAACTCTTACACAAGACAGAATCATCAACCAGACTGGTTTTTCCTCCTTATTTTTTATGTGCAGCTGCCTCTTGCCTATGACAGCATCTTCTCCTGTTTTCCTATACTTGACTGAGAGGACAGGCCTGGCCCTGGGCTCCTGTCTTAGGGCCCCGACCTGCCCCGGGAGCCTCTTGTCAGTCACTGAGGTTACAGCAAGCGGGGACTGCGACCCGCTGTGTGTCCTCCGAGGGCCCTGAGTCCCTGACAGCCATCGAGGGGGGAGCCTCCCAAGTCCAGGCGAGGAAGGCGGCTGGGTGGGAGGTGTGGCCGCTGTGTCGGCCAAGCTCTGGGGCGCCAGTCCCTGCTGCCACGGGCCGAGGGAGGGGACCTGGCCGTGGCCTCTGTCGGGCAAAGCAGCACCTTGTTTACTAGGGGCGGAAAATAGGAAGTCGCTTCCCCTCTCCCCAGAGCTCAGCCGGCAGGGAGGCTGCGAGGGCCCCTGGGAACCTCGGCAGCGTCAGTCACAAGACCTGGGTTTCCAGCCGTCGGACCTCCTTGACCACGAGATCAATGTTAATGATCGGGCTGAAGTACAGGGCCCAGTAAAACAGACAGTTGCAAACAAACTGAGGGATGAGGGGCCAGAACATGGCCACAAACAGCCCCTGTGTCGACACTTTCCAGAAATGGCTCCACATCCTCTGAGGCACGGTCCTGCAAAAGGAAGAGAGGCGTGTGAGAGGCGAGACCGGGGCGCTCAAACCTGCCCGGGCCTTTCGCCGCCGCAGCGTCTGGCTGCTGGAGCTGCAGAGACCCTGTTTCCTGCCCGCGGTGCCCGAGACACAGCTTTCCTGACCACGTCACCTTCAGCTCCGGGGACGCAGCCTGGAGGAGGCTTCCTCAAGGAAGTGTGACCAGGTCCCCTCAGGTGAGGCCTTCCCAGCACAGCCCCAACTCCACCCGCTTCGCTGAGTCACACGTGTGTGTGTTTAATATAACATACACATATCTTAATTTGTTTATTTTTGGCGGTGCTGGGTCTTCATTGCCGCGTGGGCTTTTCTCTAGATGTGGCGAGCACGGGCTCCTCCCTGGTTGCAGTACACAGGCTTCCCACTGCAGGGGCTTCTCTTGTTGCATGGGCTGTGGGGCGCACGGGCTTCTGGAGTTGTAGTTCCTGGGGTCTAGATCACAGGCTCAACAGTTGTGGCCCACGGGCTTAGCTGCTCCTTGGCATGTGGGATCTTCCCAGATCAGGGATGGAACCAGTGTCTCCTGCACTGGTGGGCAGAATCTTTACCACTGAGCCACCAGGGAAGCCCCTTTAATTGAATATTAACCTAATATTTTCTCTGCAAGGCTGTAGGCCTTCAGAGTATAAACTATCCTCCTGACCAACAGATCTGCGGTGTCCAGCAGAGAAGCAGGGGCAGAGGAGAGGTTCAATCAACTGGGCATGAATAAGTGGGGTCACTGAACTGAATAAATAATGGAGATTCCTGTCAGGTTCTCACTATTTACCTGATGGGCGAGGCCAAGAAGCCTTCGTGTCACGGGCTGTTTCAGGCTAAAAGGGTGCAGGCGTGCTGATACGTTGCTTCTGCCTGCCCAGCAGCCATCCTGTCTCCTGGAAGCGTCTTCTGAGCTTCCCTTTGGGGTGTCTCTCTTCCATGTGGCCCGTGTAGGGCTGAAACCAGCCCCTCGATGGGGGGGCGAGTGCATGCTTGTGTCTGGACAAGGCAAGCCCACAAACCCCTGTGCTTGTGACGGGTTCAGGGGGCTTGTGACCCAGGCTGGGTCAATCAAACCAAAGGCCTGTGAGCCTTAGGCTTTCACAACTGCTATGGGGAGAGAAGTGTCTCTTTCCTCTAGGGTTCCTAAGCTGTAAGTCTCTACCTGGAGGGATCAAGGGCCCCCGAATACAGGGGCCTTTGAGGTGAACAGAGGAGAGCTGTGAGAGGGAAAAAGACATTTGGCCCTAAGGACAGTGTTTGGGTCTCTGGGTCCAGCCACGCAGGAAGCCATCCCTCGGCATGTCCTTGGTAGGAAAGCTAACCTAGGTTGGTTTCTGTCACTTGCAACCAAAAGTCCTGACTCAGCGATTGTCTAGTCCAACTTTCTCATTTTACACATTAATCCAGAGAAATGCCTACAGAATTCCTCCTCAGATCTCTTTATGTTCTACCACACTACTTTCCATAAAGTACCCTCTTCTTCTCGCTTGTTTATTCCTCAGTTATTAAACTCCTTCATGTATACCCCACCCTCCAGGAATTATCTGGTATATTATGTGGGGAAAAGGCACCTAGAGGCACACTTTAACAATGAGCACCATGAAAGCCTCCCCATCCAAGTCATTTTCTTGTTTGCTGCTTAAGCAGTGTTTCTAAACCAGATTGCCGGGTGTCTACTAGAGTCTGAAAAACACTCAAGAGGACTTCTCCTCCCCTTGAAATTTCTTCCCCAGCCTCTG